TCAGGCTCCACTGGACTGTTTTGGATTGCTAGCTATTGGGGGGGGGGGAGCTTGTACCTGAATAAAACCTGGTCTTAAAGGTGCCACTGGACTGTTTTGGACTGGGGGGGGGGGCTCTGCAGCTTACCTAGCTGCTTCTTGCTCTGACTGAGGGCTGCTGGGAGCAGGGGGTGGGGCTTGTAGCATGTGCCCGCCCCCTGGGCTCTTTACTGCCGGAGCTCCGCTCCTGTGCACTCCTGCAGGAAATGACCCCTACATATGTGTATCCAGGCGTGTGTGTGCGATGCCAGGGTATGTTGGACTCAGTCCAAAATCATAATGGGCCAGAGGCAACAGGTATGTTCCAATTTAAAAAATAAGATTTAAATGATGGATTCAAAGAATCCCATGTGTTTCTCCTTCATTTCCCTCTTGAAAGTTCCGGCACCTCTTTTTCCAGAAAAAAAAGCCCTGATCATCACCATAACAAGTTGTCCAGGATGAAGGAGCACACTGAAAACCAAGGCTTTATAGGTCCGGAAATCTCTCAACTGGTCTTTGGTGCTGTGTGCTGAGGCCCAATCAGGTGATGCCTGGGGCCAGTGTGGAGTTTGCCGTCCCAGTGGTGTTGCCCGGACACCAGAACTTCCCTGACGTGATGTCCACTCTTGCAGCTGACCATGAACTGCAAACTGTAAAACGCTGGGGCCTGGCTGGCAGACAACCAGGTTTGAATTCCACCCAGGGGTCTGTGCATACATATGATTTCACAGGATGGCTGCAGCATTCACTGCAGGTTACCCATTAATTCCAGCCTAATCACCTATGGTGAATTAGGACTGTGCACAGGTGACCAGGTGAAAAAGTCTTTGAAAACTGGGAAACCTCCTCTTTCTGCAGCATGTGTGGAGCGGGCCTGACTGCTGAGAAATTGAGTGGCATACCAGCATGTCTAAACTGGCCGTATGTCCTGCTCTCCGGCACTAACTGAGGTTTTTTTTGTTTTCTGCTGGCAGAATACAACAGACTTGGAAGTGGGAGGGAACGGATGCCAGAGCAGCATCAATGCTCTGCCGGATATCTCCCTGGTAAGGCACGCGCTCTCCTTTCCCTTTCCTCTTCCTGATGGGGCTCCCTTGAGACCAGGACCGAGACCAATGCATAGGGCAACAGAGGATCCCTCTCATGATTTGGGAGGCCGAGGCGAATGTGCATACTTATGCGCATGAAATGAACATAAATTGACGTAGTTAGTGGTGAGCTTGCATGATAGCTGTCTGAAATTTATTCTAAAATATTGTTGCTGGGAAATTTCAGTACTGATGTGAAGAGCTTAATTGCGTCACGGGGAAAAGATCCTGATTGTGGTGTTCCATTTCTGAACGTTTATGTACCTCAGCACTGCATACCCCAGGGACACTGTGCTGTTCCGATCTGAGCACTTCCCACAAACCCATTTTGGCAGCTTGAAGGACAAGAAGCTTGCTTGGCTTACAACAGAATCAAGAATGAAAAGGTTTCCCCAATCCTGTCCTTCTTGTTCTAGAAGTTTGCTCTGTGCAACCACCCTTCTTTAATTCCTTCAAGTTGCAGACACACACGTCTGTATTAATAAAACTCTATGCAGAAAAAGGATCTTTGATGTGATGTGATTGTTGATAACAGTCCACCATGATTCCTTTTTGCACATCAGTAGAACACCACACAAAAGAATCTTGATTCAACCACATGTACAATCACACTGGGATTACATTTGTGCAGTGTTATATCAATGCACATGTGCATGTTGGTGGCGACGCAAAAAGATGGCAGAAAAGACATGAATGAACGGCGCATGCTCTGCAGTGGTCTGTTTGAAATGTGGAAATAAAAAAGAAATAATGGTTTTAGGAGACTAGGTAATTTGACATTTCAGAAGCATCTCTGCATTGAATAGGAATAACCCCAGGTATTCTGGAGTTGTTTGTTCATGCTGCAGAGAATCTCTATTTATAACCTTGCTAGGAACGAGAGTTTCAGCTGGGGTAAAACATACACACATGAACATATGTAGCTGTCTAGTATGGAGCTAAACCACTGATCCACCTAATTCAGTACTGCCTGTAACTGACAGCAATTCTCTGGGGTCTCAGGCGAAGAAAGGTGTTTTCCAGCATCTGTTAGCCAAAACCCTTTAGCAGGAGGCATAAACCTGCAGGCAAAGCATGCACTCACCCACTGACCCATGACCCTGCCCTATTAATTTCTTTTATTCTGAGTCAGGACAATGGTCCATCTAGCTCAATATTATCTGTAACTGGCAACAGCTGTCCCAGATTTCAGGCAATCCTTTCTGAGAGATCCTATCAGAGAGCCTTTAATTGGAGAAGCCAGGATTGAACTTTGGGACCTTTAGCATTCAGGGGGAAGGTGCTCTATCGCAGAGCTATGGCCTCTCTTCTCAAATCAGTGCAAAGCACCAAAATGCAAAAGATAACACACTGGCCATACCTCAAAAACAGGAGAGTTCCCTCTGTATTAGGCAGTCCATCCTGATGGCCTTTGTTTTGTTGGATTGAACAGGACGACGTCTCGTCTTTCCCTGAGGAGCCTCCACCATTCAAGCCTCCACCACCCAGTCCTTCTTCTCAGACAGTGGACTCCTCCTCTTCCCAGAGCAGAAACACGGCAACAGACACCCTCACAAGGCCTTCCTCGGGATCTTCCCAATCCGGCCTGTTCTTCGTAGCCCCCCGGGTCCCCACGGCCTCTCCAAGCCTCTCTGGGAGGGACACCGGAAGCATTGCCTCGACGGCCACCTCCTCCACAGAAGATTCTGCCCCCAGCAGCATCTATGCGTCCGTCTCCAGGCGGCCCATGGACGCCCACTTGTCATTGGTCAACCAGCAACCAATAGGGCCTTTCCCCAGGGTCCAATCACCAACCCGGTTGAAGACTCCTTCCCCAGAGGCTACTCCGGCCAGCGGCCTCCGAAACCCCAAAGCACCGTCCCCTTCCCTTTCCCCTCCTCCTCCACCATCCCACCCGGCTCCTCCCCCCCCTCCCAATGAAAAGGGCAGCCCGGAGTCCAGCACCACTCAGCATTTCATCATGGTAGAAGTCCATCGGCCCAACAGCGAGCCGGATGTCAACGAAGTGAGGTCTTTGCCCCAAGCTAGAGGTAAGATCTTCTCTGGTACTCCAAACACTGGGTGTTGTCACAGGAAGGAAGCGGAGGGGAAGCCAACATCAAAATGGAGGGTGAGCCGACACAGCTTTTGACACACTAGTTCATGTATGAGGTGGAAACGAGGCAATTTCCCCCCCTCTCATAGCTGAATAAAGAATGAGCGATAGATGTGGGACATATACAAAAAAAAGTTCTTCGAACCGTGCATAAGTAACTTACGGGAAAGGTTTGAAGGTCACAGATGATGATGATGATAATGATGATAATTATGATGATGATAATAATAATAATAATAGTAATACCTTTCGATTTATTGATCGCTCATCCTGCAGAGCTGCTGGCTCTGAGCGATTTACAGTTACTCAAGTTTTCACACGGGACTAACAATGAATCATAGGGGTAAGGGAGGACAACATATAATTCTTTAAATCACACACTTTTGCAGCCGACGGGGATTTTGTTCAGCTGTAAGCTTCAGGCGTGTTTCGGACGGCATTCACTTTCGGCTTGGCTGGATGACGTCAGTTCTTCCAGGACTGCTTTGAGTCATGGTGCCGCACTGCCACCGCCTGGCCGGATTGGCCCATCACAGGCTTCTTAATGCCAAAGAGGTCTTTTTTCCAGGCTTACGAGCTTACGAGCTGGACCTTCCATTCGCCGGCTAACACCTCCCCCACGGGGGTTTAGTGTGCCCACCCTCTCTAAGGAGTGGTACCCATTTTATCTACTCGCCGAAGCTTTCAAACCGCTGGGTGGACTGCGAGCTGGGGACAAGGCTGGTAACTCCCACCAGCGCGGGCTAGAACTGACAGCAGCTCTGTTCAGTTCAGATGTTAACCAGAGGATAAATCCTCTGTGCCACCACTCCCCTGTAGATAGTTCATCTACAGTGCAGTCCCACACTGGGGACTGCGCATGTGTATACCTACTGAAGAGAAGGTTTTTGAGCCCAAAATCCACTAGAGGCCCCCTGACCTGGATAGCCCAGGCAAGCCCGATCTCATCAGATCTCGGAAGCTAAGCAGGGTCAACTCTGTCAAGTAGTTGGATGGGAGACCTCCTTGGAATGGCAGAGCCGGGAGGCAGGGGCAGGCTTTATTCAGCCACCTCTCTGAATATCCTCCAGGCCCCCAGTAGGGGTCAGTCACCAGGTGCACACACAGTCACCAGAGGTTGCCATGTCTTCCAGGTGTTCACACACTCACACACATACACACACATGGACGTATGAAAGATACAAAAATACCCAAAATAAAATCCCACGAGAGGCACCCCTCCCCTCGCAGCCTTTACAATGCGTTTTCCTGCCCAGATGGCCACGTACTCTGAGAGAGTGGCACCGCCTTCTCTCAGTTCCTTCTTTGCCGCCAGTGAAGTTGGCTGTTCCTCAGGATGGTTCCTAGGTAAAATATCTCTCTGAAGAGCCATTGCTGGGGACAAAATCATAGCAGGCCTTCATACCCTGGCCTGTGGGCTTCCACAAAGTATCTGGTCCGCTACGGTTGGAAAGAGGATGCCGGAATAGATGAGTTTTCGCCCTGATCCAGAAGGACTCTTCTTCTATTCTTATAGATGAATTCACGAAGAACAGGTCTTAAAACGGTTACTGACCATGACTGCTAAGCCGGAGCCTCTGGGTTAAAACGCCTGTACTGTTAAATACCATTGATCCGAGTACTAAATGATGAGGGAGAGCTACTTTATAATGTATTCAGAAATGTGTCTCCCACTTTCCCCACCAGTGGCGTCTCACGACGTCATCCGCCTGTCCTCCATTTTTTCCTCACCACTGCCACCTAGGCTGGGCTGAGATCATGTGACTGGCCCAGGGTCACCCAGCAAGCTTCCATGGCAGAATGGGGATTTGAACCTGGGTCTCCCAGATCCCGATCCGACACTCTAACCATTATAACGCGCTGCTGTTTTTTGCATCCGGGAAGGATCTGGCTGACCACTGCAGGGAACAGAGTGGTGGTCTAGAGGGACCTTTGGCCGGATCGAGCAGAGTTCTGCCAGCACTTTGTGATGCATCTTGTGCACTTGTCACACATTGTGGCAGCAACGTTTCCTCTTGATGTTCATGGCCAACAGCAGGGTTTTCTTTGGGGGGGGGCACCAGGTGAAAGTCCTGCATTTCCTCTACAAAGCAAGACACCTGCTTCTCTCCTCTGGCTGACTCACTTCTACAGAGAGAAGTTTCCATTTCATTGTTGCCAGCCAGATGATCAAAACCCATTTTCCTAGCCCCACCCCCGTTGCCTGGTTGGTCCATAACAATACCCTCTCCTGTCAGAGTAGTGCAAATCAGATGTGCCTGCTACTTTCTTACCCTTAAAATATCTACAGCACTTATGATTTGACCTGCAGTATTAACCTTCCAGCTGTACAACAATCTTCTCTACCCAATATACATAAGAGCAAGAGTCCGAGAGCACCTAAAGACTAGCAAAATATGTGGCAAGCTTTCATGAGTCACTACTCACTTCTTCAGATATCTGAAGAAGTGAGCAATGACTATTTTGTTAGTCTGTAAGGTGCTCCTGGACTCTTGCTCTTTTCTGCTGCTACAGGGAGACTAACATGGCCACCCATCTCAATAGACATACATGTCTTATATGACATCTGTTGCTACTCGGGGCTATTTTTGGGCAGGAACGCACAGGAACGGAGTTCCGGCTGGCTCCTGAGTTTGCCACTCCCAGCAGGAACTCATTAGCATAATAGGCCACACCTAACAGCAGACATTCATTAGGATTGGCTACATTAGGGGTGTGTGGCCTAACATGCAAAGAAGTTCCTGCTACAAAAAAAGCCCAGGGTTTTGACAACAAAGTAAACAGAATAAGAAGCAAAAGGTGGGTGTGGTTGGATGACCACACTTCTGGTAACATGTGGGGTGTGGCCTAATATGCTAATGCACTGTGCTGTCAGGGGTGTGGCCTAATATGCTAATGGTTTCTGCTGTTGGGTGTGGCCTATTATGCTAATGAGTTCCTGCTGGGCTTTTTCTACAAAAAAAGCCCTGTTGCTACTTATAGATACAGATATTCTCTGACAACTCTGCTCCACAAGAAGCAGGGGTATGAAGCGAGCACAACAGATAAAAAGAAGCTTCGTTTTGTTTTGTGTCAGCTCTGCAAAGCACAGCAGCGGTGTTAGGGGTCACTTCGGCAGCTTGAGGCCTCTGGGATTTGTGGTCGGCTTCACAGTCCAGATAGTTCCACACAAATAGACCTCCTCAGGCGTTACAGCCCCACTTACCAGGAGTGCGCACTACCCGCAATCCTCCCACTATGCACAGTGAGCAGATTGTGTGAACAGAGGCAAGGCGTGTGTTTAGCATGCATGCACTGCTCTGATGTGAACAAACTACTCCCTGGGTTTTGCAGGGTTCGCATTCACACATTCTGAGGTAGTAGGTGCATGGCAAATACGTGTCACACATAGCAACCCTACATATTGGGAGTTTGGCGGATAGCACACGATACACCGTTGGTTAGGTATGCACCGTTGCTTATAGCAACAATGATTGGTGTCTGAAGTGACACAACACATAATTAGCATTAAGGGTTTTAAAAGAAGACTAGATACATGCATGAGGACTAGATGAAACCGGGCTGTAATAACTCCACAAGCATACTGCACCAGAAGGATTGAAGGTTTTATCGGAACAAAAGCAGGGCCTCTCCTGCCTTCTGCTTGAACAAAAACCAACAGCCAACAACTAGCAGCGGAAAGTGAAACTAAAGTACAGCACATGCTTTTCCATCCTAAGGAACCAGGGGGAAATAACTAAACAGTTCAGTAAGGGAACATTAAATTCATAACTTGCCATGATAGAACACTGGGGTACTCCCATATTTCACTACCCTACTGTTTCCACTCAAAAATCCCCGCTATATTCTTGCTTCTCTCTGGCCTGCATCAAAACCACAAGCCGGTCTTTCTGCCCTGTTTCCTGCTGCTTCGTTCCACATTAAATTTAAAATAATTGGGTCCATTTACACTGCTTTTAATGTTAATTTGACATTGGTGGTGTAGCAAACAAATCCAGAACACCAGCAATTAGGGTTGCCGGGTCCATCTTTGGCCCCAGCTGGGGACTTTGGGGAAGTGCTCCCAAAGGGGACAGAGTATCCCCAACACGATGATGTCACATTGGGGATGTGTCAGCTCCAAGCTCCGCCCCCACCGGGACAGTCCCACTGGCTGCAAGCACTTAAAGGGGTCCCACAAGCCCAATCTCCGAGCAGCATTGCCTTTAAGTGCCTGCGGCCGGCGAGGACCCCACCTGCCTGATCTCCGAGTGGCATTGCCGCTCAGAGATCGGGCGTGCAGGGCCCTGTCCCTTTAAGTGCCCACAGCCAGAGGGCCCCACCCACATGAAGACCAGGCATGTGGCCCACAGCCCCCCCTCTCCCTCCTCTCTCTCAAGAGAGAAGGGGGAGGGGCGGCTGCGGGGGTTGGGGCGGGGCTTCCCCCACCAGCCAGCTGGCCAGGCAGCGGGTAGAACCCCCCCCCAAAAAAGTGGGTAACCCCCACCAAACCAGGGGGTCTGGCAACCCTACCAGCAATGGAAATAGACAAAATGAGCCACTTCCCAACAACATACATAACCAACAAGAAATGAAGAAGGGGGAATAATTAATCCTAGGGTTGCAAATGAGGGCAGGGTTTGCCCTGATTTTGGGGCCCCCAATCCACAGAGCCCCACCCCCAAACAGCCCCACCAGGCCCAGTGGGTTCGGCGCAATGATGTCACCCAGAGGACACGTCATTGTACTGGGCATGTTGCATGGTGGATGCTCTAGCATTCAGCTAAAAACTCTATGGTGACCATAGAGTTTTTAGTCCAATGCCAGAGTGGCATCTGTAGAATGTGTCCAAGACCCCGGAAGGAAGCAAGGATTCCCCAACTGTAGGGCTGCCAAGCCGCGGCGGGGAATCCGCACGTCTTCACAGGATCCCTGCCGCGGGGGACAGTCCCCTGCGGCAGGAATCCTGTGAAGACATAGGGATCCCCCGCCGCGGCTTGGCAGCCCTACCCAACTGGTAGATGGGTAAGACAACCTGGCGACCCTAATTCATACATCCCTAAAGAACTTATCCCTGCTTGGAGTCAAAGGGTCTCTGAGTGCCAGTTGCTAAGTGGGGAGAGGGGAAGCAGCGGTTTACGGCTGTTGCCTTTGTACCCTGTTTGTGGGTTTTCCAGAGGCATCTGGCTGGCCTAGGGTTGGCAGATCGACTTACCTGGCCAGTGAGGGTCTCCTGATGTCCTTCCAGCAGACTGGAAATGATGTTGGGCATTTTCAGGCCTACTTCCAATTTCGGGCCTCCTTCTGGTCTCAGACCTACTGCCGGTCAGGGGTGACACTCTGGTTTGGGGGCAAAATTCTATGGTAAATTCAGCTTCAAACCATAGAGTTTTGCCCAGAAATCAGAGTGTCGCCCAAACCAGAAGTGGGCCGAAAACCAGAAGTGGGTCCAAAAAGGTCAGTTGGGGCCGGGATTTCCCCCAGCTGGCTGGCAGCAGGCCAAGAACCTGCAAAATCGGGGGTTCCCCTTCACCCACCAATGGGCTAGCAACCCTAGACTGGCCCCTGTAAGAAACAGGATCTTGGGCTAGAGAGGCCAGTGGTTGACCGTCTCTTCTAATGTTCCTATCCTGTAACCTTTAAAATACCCTGCATAATTGCTTGCGGTATTTGAACCTGTATAAGAGATCATCCTGACCAGGATATCTCAGGGTAGCCCGATCTTACCAGATCTCAGAAGCTAAGCAGGGTCAGCCCCGGTTAGTACTTGGGTGGGAGACCACCAAGGAATACCAGGGTCATGATGCAGAGGCAGGCCATGGCCAACCACCTCTGAATGTCTCTTGCCTTGGAAACCCTACGGGGCTGCTGTAAGTCAGCTGTGACTTGACAGCCCCCCAAAAATGACATAATCAAGAATACAAATCCCATGGTGCTGTGTTTATGTAGGTGGTCTTGTAGATAGGGGGAGGGAGAATGAGGAGCTGGAGACTTGCATGCCATCAGTTTTCTGAGTTTGAGGAGGGAAAACGGAATGGTATATTGCCCAGGTAGCTGGTAACCTTCATTATAAGCCAGAGCCCGACTTACACATTTTGGGAGACATATGGAGGAGCCCCGCCACTGACAAACCACAGAGGAAGGTGAAATTTCTGTGCCAGCCTGCGAAGGGATTCCAAAATACTGTAATTCCTAAAGATTACTGGTATGAGTTTCCTTTGCCAGTTTTTAGCCATGACTTTGGTGCCCTCCTGTGGTTAGGTCTGCATACTGCAAGCACCATTCATTTCACCTTTGAGATTTCATTCATCCAACTCCCTTCCCGAGTGTTGGCTGTTCGTGGTCTTCTCTCTTTCCACTGTTCTCATTTGTCAGGGGAAAAAAGGATGAGGAAGCTTGAGTCAAATCTTACATGGGACTGTATGAATGATAAGGCCAAATATCCCACCATCACAGCTGTTCTGCACGCCTGTGCAGATCCAGTTGGGGGGGGGGGGGGTTTAAATGTTTCCTCAGGTTAAAACATTTTGTTCCTGTTCCTTAGCATGGTGCTGCTGAGACATCATGCAACTCTCAAAGTCTATTCTGACAACAAAATAGAATACATAACCATTTAGAAGGCCTAACAAAAAAATAGGTAAATAAAAGAAATTGAATGTGTAAATGAGCACAAATTGAAAATAAGAAGGGGGACAAGAAATACTTTTGCCTGGGGCTGAAAGTTGTTGCCAGGCAAAACAAGGGGCTACGACTGAAAAGGCCCTGCTTCTGGTTCTCACCGCTAGCCTCCGTTCCATAGCGGGACCTCTGTAGCTGAGTCTAGTTGATGGATTGGGTATGTATGGGACATGGTAGTCTTTTACCAATCTAGGCATTTTAGGCATTCTCAAATTCTTCCCTCCACCAATATTATGCAGGCACCATGGAGGCGTACATCACCTCTGTGGTATACTGGCTGGAGGTGTCAAACAAGCATCTGGGAGGCCCAGGTTCGAATCCTCACTGCCACAGAAGCTTGCAGGGCAACTTTGGGCCAGCCATATACTTTCAGCCTAACCTACCTCACAGGGTTGTTGTGATAATAAAATGGAGGGAAAGGGAGTGTAGCTACTTTGGGTCCTGACTGGGGAGAAGGGTGGGCTTGAAATGAACTGAATAAAATAAATAGTGCATATCCAACAGTGTGTCATTTGCACATACTTGAAGTTCACGCTGGGTCAACAGCAGGAGATGAAAGCAAAGGCTTGATGCAACAAAACTACTGAACATAAGTGGACCCAAAAGAGTGTCACTCATCCACTCTTAATATTATTAGATATAAGATAGAGAGCCAGTTTGGTGTAGTGGGTAAGAGCACGGACTCTAATCTGGGAGAACCGGGTTTGATTCCCCACTCCTTCACTTGCACCTGCTGGATGACCTTGGGTCAGTCATAAGTTCTTTCAGAGCTGTTCTCTCAAGGACAGTTATTGGGAGAGCTCTGTGGGGAGGGGAAGGGAAAGGGATTGTAAGCTGCTCTGAGACTCCTTTGGGTAGTGAAGGGTAGGGTATAAATCCAATCTCCTCCTCCTCCTCTTCTTCTTCTTATTATTATTAGAGATTTATACCCCACTTTTCTCCCCAAAAGAGATCTAAAGCAGCTTACTACATCATTCTCCCTTTCTCCATTTTATCCTCACAACAGCCCTATGAGGTAGGTTAGGCTGAGAGAGTGACTAGCCCAAGGTCACCCAGCGGGTTCTCGTGGCAGAGTGGGGATTCGAACCTCATCTCCCAGATCCTGTCCGACATTCCACAAACCCAGCACATTGAATTGCTCCTGGAAGGAGACAGGCAGTTGGTATGATTCTGCCAGGACTGGCAATACAGGTTCCCTTTTGATCTCACCAACTGACAGCCGCAGACAGCCTTTGAAGAGAGTCGCACCCCAAGAGAGCGTGGCCGCTGCAGCCACCCCGGAGTCTGAGTCCCCCCTCCCCTCCATCCTCTTGTTCGAAGTACCAGTTGCAAAAGATGAAGAGATGCAAACAGGCGTTCCAGTTTTGGTCTGCAAATCACACTTGATGACTGAGTAGGAATTAACGACGATTATTGATGTTACTTATTAGTCAGCAACACTCCCCCGAGGGTGAGACATGAATAATTTGCAACCTGCAGGCCCTGGAGCTTCCCATGTGTCTATACGTCTACATGTTAAAAGTTGTGAATCATCCTCTTCCAGCCAGCCTCTCCTTAAACGGGAAACTGGTTTTCGGAATGTGTGAAGCTATTGCACAGCAAGCCAGAGACCTGTGGTCCATCCAGCTCAGTATTTTGTGATGGGCAGTTGTTCCCTGGGGCACCCCGACACCGGCTGCTTTGACGTCCTTTTCACTGGGGGTGCTGGGGACTGAACTTGTCTCCAAAAGAGAGGATCTACCACTCGGGACTGGCCCATCCCTTAGACACACCTAGGCAATTACCTAGGGTGCCAGAGGTGGAGGGGCACCCAAACTAGCCTTGTTCCTGCCCTACTTACCCACAGCATCAGGGGCGTGCTGCCACCAGTGGGCAGCCAATAGCAAGCCTGACCCTTATTTATTTATTTATATTTGTACGTTCAGGGCCGGCCCGAGGTTGTCCTGCGCTCTAGGCGAGCGCAGATGCCAACCTCCCGGCGGGGCCTGGAGACGCTACAAGCTACATACAATCCTGTTTCCAGTGAAGTACAGTTAAACAAATGAAACTAAGTGCAAATTCTGACTACGAGATGGGTTTTCACCACATTTTTATCCCACCTTTTTTTCAAGGAACCCAGGGTTGCACATCTGGCGGCGGCTGGGCCAGAGAAGGGGCGGGCTTTTCTCGGCCTCCCGCCCGCCGCCGGCCAGGAAAGGCCGAGAAAAGCGACGGCGGGAGGGAGGAGGAAAGCGACGGCGGCTGGGCCAGAGAGGGCAAGAAGCGCACCAGGAAGGTGTCCGAGAGGGCCACGGCTGGAGACGCTCCTCATTGGCCAGGCGCCGGAGTTCAGCCATGGTGGCTCTCACAACGGGCGCCTCGTCTGGCAGCTGGTTGAGGTGGTTCCCCGGCCGAGAAAGGCGGGCCGCCGCCGGGCAAGAGAGGCCGAGAGAGGTGGCGGGGGGGAGGAGGAAAGCGACGACGATGGCTGCGGGGGGGCGGCAGGAGGCCCTCTCTGGCCCAGCCGCTGTAGCTTTCCTCCCCCCCTTCTCTGCCACCGCCGCCTTTCTCGGCCGGGGAACCACCTCAACCAGCTGCCAGACGAGACGCCCGTTGTGAGAGCCACCGTGGCTGAACTCCGGCACCGAGCCGATGAGGAGCGTCTCCAGCTGTGGCCGGCCGCTGGCCCTCTCGGACACTTCCTGGTGCGCTTCTTGCGAGCTCAAGACTTCCACCTAGAGCAGGCGTGGGTGGAAGGTAAAGGGCGCACCCAGACGCAAAGCAGCAGGAGGAGCCTGGCGCGAGCAGCTGCCCGCCCGTCGTTCCTTCTGCTGTAGGTCTTTGGGAACTGCGGACCCTCCTGGGCTCTCACGATGGCTGAGGAAGGGGGCGCGCAAGAATCGCCTGGCCGCAGCCAGGCAGGAGAGGCCGAGAAAGAGGGCAGCAGCAGCGGCGACGGTGGGGGAGGAAAGCGCCTTGCCCTGCCCACTCCGCCGCAGCGCGTCCTCCTCCAGGCGGCAGAGTTCCTCCCAGCCCCGCTCCTCCCTGCTCCTGGCCAGGCGTCGGCGGCCACCCCTGCCTCTCCTCGTGCGCCCTAACGGCTGGCTCTAGACGAAGGCCTAGTTCACCTAGCGGGCGAGCCGGCCCTGTGTACGTTCAACTTTTAGACCGCCCTCCCCTGCACACAGGGCTCAGGGCAGTGAGCAGCATTTCCGTAAGTACATTCCCAGCTCAAGTTAAAACAATTAAAACAATACCCAATAAACAGACTGAATAGCCATTACGGATGACGCACAAGATAAGCCAATTTCTATCCTTATCCCCATTGGAGAGAGGGAAGGAAGGAAGGAGCCAGGCTAGATGGAAGCCAATGCTGTCCTCCGCCACAGCCCCTGCGGAACTGCACGAGGTCCCTCGGGGCACAGGCGTTGTTGGGCAGAGAGTTCCACCAGGTTGGAGCCAGGGTCAAAAAGGCCCTGGCTCTGGTCGAGGACAGCCAGATATTTTGGGAGGCATTGGGGTGCGTGAGGAGGGCCCGCTTCGCCATCCGTGGTGTGGGGGGAGGACAGCAGGCAGCGGCTTCCCGGGGGGCAGAGAGCAGGCGAAGGGATTCCCCTGGGGCGCCAGAACGCCTTGGGTTTGTTGGAAATGTATGTGTTTACAAGGTCTGATTCAGTCATTATAGGGTTAACTTGTATTCCTAGTTTGCTATTGTTTAGACTGACCTGGAAGGGATACCTGGCACTAAGCCAATGGGGGATTTGCCCGGGAAAAGTAACTTCTACTGTGATGCAGATTGGCCATTTGTTTCAGGTGACTTCCTTTCTAGGGGTCAAGAAGGAGGAGGAAATCTCCACCATTACGTGTGTGCTTGTCTTCAGTATAGGAAGCTTAGAAATGTAGCTCTTAGTGTTTTGTTAATTTGTAGCAATCCCGTGTACCTTTTCCCTTAGAATAAAGTATTTTTAAAAAGCAAAGAAATCTCTTCTTTCCAATAGAGCAAGATCCATCAAATAGTCTGAGTATTAAACAATTTTTGACTATTTACAACAAATTGGTAGCATAGGGCGATTTAAATGCTCATTGGATAGAGAGAGAGAGAGAGAGAGAGAGCTGAGCTGAGCCAGCACATAGAGTATTAAAAGTGAACTTTTTTCCTGCAAAGTTTTTTTTCTACTTTTTGCCAGACAAAGCTGTGACCAGACAAAGTGTGAGCACTTTTAATTCTTGCTGATTAAAGGGATCATCACTTTAATGCTGGTTTGCATTTTGGAAAGCAGCTGAAAGAAAGCTTTTTTGAATTTT